TGATGAAGCGGCCCTCCAATGGCTTTTTGGGACCTCGAACATTTTTACTCTTCGTTGTAGTTGTTGATGTCGATCCAGAGGGCTACAAAACGTAAACATTATTTTTAATGTCATGAGCACACATGTGTCCATCATCTGTCTTCTCTGGATGCAGGTTGTCTCTTTCTCTCAAACAATGCAGGTCCTGTCGTGCTTCAAATGTGTCCTTAGGCTTTCCATACACACCCATAAAGCCTAGCGAGTTCACACAAAGATTCTTCGTCAGTGCATCACGTCGATCGAGCTACGGACCTCCGTGACTTGCCAATAGGGTAGGTTCCAAAATATGGACTTCTTCTTCCACATGGGTGCGTGACCGTTAGCGTCTTTTGGAATAGGTTGGCTTCCATGTCCTTTTCAAAAGACGACTTTCACATCATTGACCATATCGAGTACATCCTCACCGGTTCGGTTATGCAGGCTTGGTCGTGGTGGTCTCCTTCCCTTTAAAATGCTTGCCTTTCTTTCTTTACGGGGTGATTTGCAGGAAGAAATCGACGATGGCCAAGGTACACGACCTTTCGACATTTTTTCAAGAATACACCTCTAATATCACCAAGCAAAGGTGTGTGCATGCATTATATCCCTTGTTTGATCGGTCTCCGAAAGATTACTTAGAGCAGGCCAATCATTGATTGTTACGAAACAACAATGCTCGCAGATCAAAGTGTTCTGCTTGTACTCATCCCACACACGTACACCTTCTTTATTCCACAAAATGAGAAGTTCGTCAATAAGTGGTCTCGTGTACACATCGATGTCAATGCCAAAGTTGCTTCTTCGGGCCTTGGATGAGCACAGCATCATAATGAACTTTCGCTTCATGCATAACCAAGGAGGAATGTTGTAGATACTTAGAGTAACAGGCCAAGTGCTATGACTATTGTTCGCTTCTCCAAAAGGATTGATACCATCTGTACTTAAAGCAAACCTTAAGTTTCTTGCGTCATTTGCAAACTCCAGAATCTCTCGTCGATTGCTCTCCACCGGGACCCATCGCCAGGGTGTCTCAACATATTGTCTACCTTACGGTCTTCTTTGTGCCATCGTAACAATTTTGCATGTTCTTTGTTTCTAACAGACGCGTTTCAAGCGTGGTATTATAGGAGCATACCACATAACCTTGGCAGGGATTTTCTTACGCGGACGTTCGCCCTCAACATCACCAGGGTCATCTCGCCTGATCTTATACCGCAACGCATGGCATAACGGGCATGCATCCAATTTCTCGTACTCTTTGCCAAGGTACGAGGATGCGATCATTAGGACATGCATGTATCTTCTCTATTTCTAGCCCCATAGGATGTATAAACTTGTTTTGCTTCAGAGGTAGTGGCGGGCAATTCATTGTACTTCTAAGCATCTTCTTTTGGATTTTTAGTAACTCTCCAAATCCCTTGTCGATACACCATTCTTTGCCTTCCATTGCAGCAATTCTAGTGTGGTTCCCAACTTTTTTCTCGCCTCGCATCACAAGTTGGGTACAACAATTTCTTGTGATCTTCTAGCATCCGCTCGAACTTGATCTTCTTCTTTTCACTTTCACATTCTCTTTGTAAAGTCACGAATGACTGGCAAAGATCATCACCGGCTCATCTTTTGCGGCTACCTCTTCTTCAACTTCTCCCATTGCAAGATCATTGAAGCACGCACCATCAAGAATAATATCATTGTCGTCCCATTGTTCTTCTTCACCTTCTTCCATTACAACACCGTTTTCTCCGTGCTTTGTCCAACAAATATAGTTTGGCATGAAACCCGACTTGAACAAGTGTGAATGAAGAGTCCTTAAGTAAGGATATTCCACCGTATTCTTACATATGGCACATGGGCAGCACATGAAACCGTCAGCGTTTGTTTGCCTCGGCCGCACGACGTAACAAAGAATGCACGCCGTCAATGAACTCTTGGGAGCGGGCGATCATTTATAATTCCAATGACGGCTCATCTGCATTACATGACATAAATATTATATTAAAACCTAGATCATAATTAATTATTTATACAACATGCGTGCCACCACAAAAGATACAAATTTATGAAAGCATCGCTACAATGTAGACAATCCCAACTACCACTAAAAGAACTAAAGCTAAAATACATTTCAGGAGCACAAGGATTTCATGACCAATCTCAACTAAAAAAGCAGACAGATCCCCGATTGTGCAACATCTTTGGGCTTCTTCGGTGGATCACCGCCTCATTAGCCAGAGATCTGCTTGTTGTGCAATATTTTTGCACGAGTTCAACATACTCTTCCTCCCAAGAGAATCCTTGAACATTGTCCACCGCCATCCCACCTGAAATTAAAACAAAAATTAGAACTTTAATCACAACCATCATGAAAATAGGTATAAACTAACCATAATCATTAAATACGATAAAATAACTCACATTGCGATCCGGACACTTGTAGAAGATACGATTCTTGTTGGGACCCTCCTTCTTCACTCGGTACTCCATCACAATCTTCGTCTCATCACGACACTTGCCGCATGGAATGAGAGGAAGGCCCGCCTAAGTCGCTTTGGAAACCCATGAGAGGCCGAGGACCCGTAAGCGATTGACATCTACTCTCTATACTTATTTTTAATACACTATAAATTTCTCCTTTTATAAACAAATAAAATTAACAAACTATAAAATTATCTAGATCTCTAAACAATGATATTTTTAATGGTCATTGTGTTCTCGCCTTTTATCATGCGGCGGGTAAGTAATTCACATGATATTTCCGTAAATTAACAGAAAGAATGGGAGTGTACACACATAATGTTACTATCGCGACGATATCGGAACGTGTGAATAAATAACCATCCGTACTAGTTGACCTTGCTTACGTGATCATCTCGGCGAGCATTTCTCCACCGACGGCACCGTATTTGGTCAAGGAAAAGCTCGATTCTACGAGGAAGGAACACGGTCTTCCACGACCGCTTGCCGCTCTCCCTCGTAGAATCAAAGCTCCTCCTTGACGTCCGCTACCGCTTCGGCAGAGAACATGCTCGCCGAGATGAACACGGTCCGCAAGTTCAACTAGTACGGATTTTCTATAATTTTCTAAGTTTTCATTTTCATAAAAAGTTAAAATAAAAAAATACGGTGATTGACAAACTATCGCGACGATATTGGGATATGTGAATAAATAACCATCCGTACTAGTTGAACTTGCTTACGTGATCATCTCGGCGAGCATTTCTCCACCGGACGGCACCGTACTTGGTCAAGGAAGAGCTCCGATTCTACAAGGGAACACGGTCTTCCACGACCGCTGCCGCCTCCCTCGTAGAATCAAAGCTCCTCCTTGACGTCCGTTACCGCTCGGCAGAGAACATGGTCGCCGAGATGAACACGGTCCGTAAGTTCAACTAGCTACTTTAACCTTCTTTCATGTAAATATGCAAGCTTGAAGTGATTTTGAGCTCAAATTGCTTACAAATAAAAAAAACCACAATAAAGAACCATATATATATATATAGTGAACAAAATGAGATAAGACAATGGTGAAAAATGAGAGTATGAGATTGGTAACCTTTACAACTGAAGAATCGACGGAGAAATCAAAGAAATCGACGGAGGAATCGAATAATAGATGGAGGAACAATGGAGGGAGGGAGGAAGCAAGAACACTACTGCAGTGAGCTTCAAAATACGCCGAGCTCGGGCTCGGGAGGAAGAAGGAGACGGCCGATATATAGGGGGACCTTTAGTCCCGGTTGGTGGATCCAACCGACTAAAGGTAACTCAACCCCGGCGCAGCCATGGCCCGAGTAGACCTTACTCCCGGTTGGATCCACCAACCGAGTAAAAATATATTTTAGTCTCGGTTGGAGGCTCCAACTGGGACTAAAGGTCCCTCGCCACCTGCATGCTGCGCGCAGAGTTGGGCGGGGATTTTAGTCCCGTTGGAGCCTCAACCGACTAAGGTATTTCTAGTCCCGGGAGCAAAAAATTCCGGGACTACAGTCTATTTTGGCCGAGGATCAAAAGTCTGTTCTCTACTAGTGGTACCTAAACCCATGGATAGTTATTTGTCACTGGTCACGGTTAGTCTGACACACTTTCTCTCTCCATTTTAGGGACGGTCATTTTGGGACACTCATTTATAGACAGTTTTCCTATACACGGAGAGACAGTTCGCCACACACAACACTTAGCTAAAGAAATCCCTAGGATCACTGTGGAACAAATGGATAGTTTATTAGATCTGATGGACAGTATGGGAAGACTTCACATAGCCACAAAAGCCCTAAGATCACAACGTGCCCTGATGGAGAGTCCGTTTCCACCAAAGGTCGTCATGTATGGTGGCTACATTACTATATTTAACTCATTTAACTTCGTTTTCAAGCAAGCCGGTTATAGATAACACGTGCATGGGTCTGTATATCCATTTATTTATTTTAAAAGAAAGCATAATAGAAAAACACTTCTACAAAGCAAAGAAATTATTGGATATACAATGGTAATAAAGCATTTCACTTCTGGGAAGCTTTCGCCTTCAAGACACCAATGAGGTACGCGTTGAACTGCACGAGCCTGTCCGTTTCGGGCATGACGTCTCTGACAGCGTGGTGAGCATAGAATCGGTCCGCCCATGCTGTCAGTTCAGGGAACTTGGATTCGTCGAGGACCTTGACGCCGGCGATCTTTTCCACTGCCTTGAGCCAACCCAAGTGTGACCCGAGAACGATGTCGAGGAAGCCCAGGCTGTCGCCGCCAAAATAGCTCTTCCCTCGGCTGCACTTGACGAAGGCCTCCTCCAAAAGCTGCAGGGCTGCAGACGCCTGCGCTGCTGCTTCGTCTGTGTCTCCACTGGTCACTCCTCTCAAGACCACGGATGCAGGGGCAATCTACAAAGGAAATGACATTATTGGTCACCCCTCTCAAGACTGACATTATTGCAGATTTTTTTTAAAGAACGGCAAAAGTCAGCAGTCGTATGATTTCAGGTAAGTTACCTTGTCATCTACGTACTGTGCCCAAAACCGCTGGACAGCACGTTCATAGGGGTCGGCGGGAAGGATGGCTGGCCTGTTACTGGACACCCAAACTTCGTCGATGTACTGGAGTATGATCATGGACTCGGCGACGGGCTTGCCGTGGTGGAGAAGCACCGGGATCTTCTTGTGCACCGGGTTGGACTGGAGCAGCAGCTCGCTCTTGTTGCCGACCACCTCCTGCAAGAACTCGTACTCCACGCCCTTGAGCTTCAGCGCCACGTACACGCGGATGGCGTAGTGGCTCGCCCACCCTCCGATCACGCGCACCGCCGCCGCCGCCGCCGCTTCTTCTTCACCGCTGCCGTTCGGTGCCATTGCTATATTTTTGCCGACGATCAGATTGGTGCCGTGGGGCTTGTAGATCTGCGAGTTCGTCGTCGCAGCGTTGTGTGGCTCTGTATTTGTAGTCTTTGTATACGTAGAGAGAATCTGTTTATATATTATTTCAGGAGCAAGGTTTTCCCTTCTTTATTGAAGTTTTCTTTGACCGGACGGTGATAACAGGTTGACCATCATTTTTTTTACTTTTCTTTTTATGTATGGTGAGTAGCCGTCAGTCAGGAGTACTAGTTAGTTTAGCTTCTACGTTTGCTCCACTTAACATTCTGCCTCTTCCTGATGTCACTGCTGGCGTCCTTGAAGAGGTGCGCTTGCATTTCAGGTGGATGAGCTCCACCGGCAACGAGACTTTAGGCGCCGCTGGTGGAGGGGTGACTTTAAGGATGGCAACGGGTCGGGTTTGGATCAGGTGGAGTCTCCGTGCACCCAAAACCGAAACCCGAAATTGAAACCCGAATCCGCCCCGAAAACCGATTCGGGTGGAAATCCATCACCAAAACCAAACCCGCGGATACCCGAAACCTGAACGGATACCCGAAACCCGAATGGATACCCGAAACCCGCGGATATATATACACATATTCACATGTATAAACAAGAGGCAACAAATAATAAATATTTTTATGAGTCAACTTTAAATAAATTTATTAATCTAAGTAAACAAATTATTATTAGTATATTATAAAACATGAGTTTTAATTCCAAATGATTTATTTCGGATATCCATTGGATATCCACGGGTGGAAAACCAAACCCGAAACCGAACCCGATTGGTTTCGGGGCCCCGAACCAAAAAACCGTGGGTGAAAAAACATCCCCAAACCCGAACCCGCAGAACCCGAAACCCGCGGATATCCGCCCCAAACCCGATCCGTTGCCATCCTTAGGTGACTTCAGCAATCGGCCACCGAAAAATTTACGCATCGAAAAGTTCAGAGATTACACATATGGAGTACATTAACTTCCTTCCTGGCTCATTTGATCAGAGGGAAAAAAAATCAAAATTTACAAAATGTGACTAATAATTAGTCAAATTATACACAAATTTAGCGACAAGATTCGCACCAATATTTTTATATTCTAAGTGACCCCTAAAATAATATTGTTTTCTCGTAATTAGCTACAAATTATAAAAGAAATTAATCATAAAAATATATTTTGTATGTTGCTTTTTTAGACTTATAACTTTTATCTAGATATACATTATGTCAAGATTTATAGAAAAAAACTACCAAAATGTTGTCATTTATGAGGGAGGAGTAACTTTTTTGTGCTGCTCTTTACATCACCCATTAATATGCTCGCTTTCATCACTCGGGGGCGACTTTAATTTGATTTGCTTGCATGGGATTTTCTGAGACAAATATACCGCCTTTGACATATCATGACGAGGCTACAGGCGCATATCTAGAAGTTGACGGTGAGTTAGTCCATCATCTACTCATTCATTACTTTATTTGTTTGGTTTGTAGAATAAATTACGATGATGTATCATCACTTTATTTCTCATAAGTCAATAATTAATACTAGTACGAGAAATATAGTTATTTTCCTAAATTTGAGGAATCAATTCATAATGCAGCACCTAATCTAGGATAGAGTGGTTTCTCAAACTAAACACCATATAAATATTCCCTGCAAGAGTCATCATCTCAAGAGCCGTGAGCAATTAGATCACTAGTTAGCGAGATGGGAGGTAAAGGGCAGCCTTGCAAAGGGCACCAGCTCCCTACAGATGGCGTAAAACAACATTATTTTGAGAACATAAGGGCCTACGTCGTGTTGTCGTTTCCTTAATGGTAATGCTCAGGAGCGGGTATCTATCTGTCCGAACGCTGTTTTCTAGGTCTACGTGTACCGGTTCAATAGGCTTGCTTATTCTCTGTGTCTCCCCAACTCTCTAAAAAATATCTTCCCATCACTCTCACCCATCGCGTGTAGCTGTGTCATGCGCTCGTTGCTGCCGTCTTCCCCGCCGCGCACCCCACCTCGCGCCGCGCGGCTCCCCCATCTAGCGCCGCGCTGCATCTCCCGCCCTGCCCGCTCCAGCTCGCCGCGTGCCACGCCACCGCTACCGCGCATCGTGCCTCATCCCCCGCGCGCGGCGAGGTGCTGCCGAGGTGCTACCGTCGCCGCTGTTCCCCACCAGAAGGTCGCGGCCGCTGTCGATGTTGTGGTTGCTGCGTTGCGCAACCTCAGCAAGGAGATGTTGCGATGAAAACGTATGTTGCAAGCGTATGTTTCAAGTGTTTCAGAGGTATGTTGCAATTGTTTCATATGGATGTTGCAAAAGTAGATCGGAGATGTTGCACATGTTGAATATGTTGCAAGTGTTTTAGAGGCATGTTGGAAGTGTTTCAGAGGTTTGTTCAAAATATTTCATCTGTTCCAAACGTATGTAGCAAACGTTGTAATCTGGATGTTGCATATGTTTCAACTGTTTGAGTCTTATGTTGCAGTAAGTGTTTTCAAGTTGCATGTTGCAAGTGTTTTGTCTGGATGTTGCATATGTTTCATACATATGTTGTAAGTGTATGTTCCATATGTTTTATTTGTTGCATGCGTATGTTGCATTCAAGTATTTTATGTTGCACATCTTTCGCGTTGTTCCGAGAGTTAAGGGGGGGTGGGGAGTGATGGTGGCACGGCGTAGACACCGGGGAATGGTGCGAGTGCAGGGTGGGGGCGAATGACCTCGAATCGAGACAGAATGGGCGGGTTAAGAGTACGAGGCGAGTCCTCCAGACACATGGCACTACGACTGGGCGGGGTGCACGTGCGGAGCGGGAAAAAAACAGCGAACTGGGGCAGTCTGCATGGGCGTCGGACCGGACATCCGGCTGTTAGCACCTCCGTCTTCTTAAATTTGACTTTATCCTTGAAACAGGAGGCAATGGACGAGTTAAGTAAGTTTTGTACCGAATAATACAGAGGCAGTGTATGCGCGTCGATTTCCCTTTGAGGGGCACAAACTTTTTTCAAAGATAAAGAAAGCTTTATTTCCAGTGGAAGGACACAGACTAAAGCTTATTGACAGTGACACTACCGGCACACGCGCAGTGAAAATCACGAAGCAGACCCTTTTGCTCACTTGGGACCATTGGTAGGCTTTGAGGACGACCCATAGGTGACGCTGAACTCAACGAACTTGTCCGCATCAGGGATCGCGTCCACCACGGCCGGGTGGGTGCAGAGCCGATCGGCCCAGGCCACCAGGTTCGGAACCTTCGCCTTGTCCAGGAGAGTGACCCCGGCGATCTTCTCCACCGCCTTCACCCAGCCGACATACGAGTATACGACACCAGAGCGATGTCCAGGTACCCGACGCTGTCGCCGCCGAAGTAGTGCTTCCCCTGGCTGAGCTTCACGAAAGCCTCCTCTAAGAGCTGCAGGGCGGCGGACAGCTGCTCCACCGCTTCGTCCTTGCCCCCGTCATCCATTCCCCTGAGTATGCGGATCGCCGGAGGGAGCTGCGTGAGTGTCAACTAGCCAGGAAGAGCATGATTAGTCTCACTCTAACACCATTATAAATTGGTACTGAAAACTGATCAGAATTGGTCAGAGAAAGAGCTCGATCGACTAGCTAGTTTTTCCTTACCTTGTCATCGACGTACTGTGCCCAGAACCGCTGGACCGCACGGGTATAAGCGTCGGCGGGGAGGAAGGCCGGCGCGTCGTCGGAGGACCAGACCTCGTCGATGTACTGGACGATGATGAGAGACTCGGAGATGGGCTTGCCGTGGTGGAGCAGGACGGGGACCTTCTTGTGCACCGGGTTTGACCTGAGCAGCAGCTCGCTCTTCTTGCCCACCACCTCCTCCACGAGCTCGTACTTGACGCCCTTCAGCTTCAGCGCGATCAGGACGCGGATCACGAACGGGCTCGGCCATAGGCCGATCACACGCACGGCCTCTGCCTCTGACATTTTTGTGGTTCGAGTTCTTGGCCTAGTGCAGTTGTGACTGAGGAGAAGTTTGCTGCATGTAATAGTTGTATGTGGATATATATATATTTATATACTAAACGAGCTCGAGCTCTTTCTTTTCCTTTTCTCTGTCCGGGCTATCTAGACGTCCTTGCGTGCGTCATGTTCCGGACAGCTGCCTCTTTCTTCAGCGTCTCGTCAAGTCGTCGTACCTTGAGTTTCGAGTTGATGTGATCGCTTTCGTCATCGAAGCTGCTGTGTGTTGGATTTTATACGGCCGATCAGTTTTAAAGATCTTCACTTTGCCAATTAGCCAGCCGTTTCCTAACCATAAAGACAGAAAGATAGAACGAATTGATTTAGAGGTAAGGGAAAGAACAGTCAATTGCAGAGTGACAGTTTCATAAAAAAAAGGAATTACAGTGACACATAATGACACATTTTTTCTCCTTTTCTATAAGCTAACCCTTCTGTCCCATACGTCAAACTTTCTTAAGTTTAATTAAATTTATAAAAAAAATATTATCATCATTTGTATCTCTAAATAAGTTTATTATAAAATATAATTAACGATTTATCTAATGATACTAATTATGTGTCATAAGTATTATATTTGTTCAAGTTGAAAGTGCTCCACTTCTTGGAAAGTAACCATGACACTTTTTGTAGGAAGAGAGTAGACTAGAAGGATGACAGACACTACTATCCAGGATTGGAATGCTCATGAACGGTTGTATCGTATTGCTTTCTGTTACCATTTTTCTTTTTTTTTCACCATTACTGAGCTTGTTTTTTTTTGTATATATAATTTAAGTTTAAGTCATGACACAGCATTCAGATCGATCATCTAGAACTGGATATGCGGTGTTCCATGCTTGTCGCTAAATGTTACTCCCTCCGTTGCAAGTTATAAGTCGCTTTGATTTTTTGGTTCATCCATTTTACTATGTATCTAGACATATTATTATATCTAGATGCATAGCAAAATAGATGAACTAAAAAAGTCAAAGCGACTTATAATTTGGAACAGGGGAAATACAAAATACTTAAAACATTTTACTTTTACCCCAAATTAAATTCCTCTAACTTTGACTAATTTATAAAAAAATACCCTTGTATCCGGAGCATTAGTAATTTCATTAACTCTAAACTGAAATACATCTTGATGATACTTTATTTAGAGAAGCCTAGCAATAGCCAACAAAATAGGTCCCTTACTTTTTATTTGAGGGCTCCCATACTTTTGAGGGCCCTATTTTCTAGGCTATACTCCAGCGGTAGCTCTCAAAACAATGTCCTCAATCCATTCTAACATAGAACGACCCATATGATCGACTTGTTATCCTCTTTCCTATCTTCTTTCTTTATCTTCTCTCCGTTGATGAACATGGCTATGTTGGGGGCGCAACCATCAGGAAGGGCTTCAATGCGGAGAGGAATAGCCATGGCTCCGGATGAGGGTGGCGCAGCTAGGGAGGGGCTCTAGCGGGAGAGGTGACGCGGGGAAGTCACCGGGAGAGGAAGGAGCCAGGGCGTGACCTCTCTAGCGAATGCCTGCTCGGGTGACGCGCGGATGCATGGGGAGGGAAGAAGCCGGGGAGGTGGTCGCCAGAGCTGCCGTGTTGTTTTCTTGCTCGAGGTGCGACCTCTCCCTCAGATCCAGTGACATGTGGACAAGGAAGTGCACGGCGCACGCAGACGAGGGAAGCCGAAAGCGGGGTGGTGCATGGATGGGGAAACTGGCGACGCATGAACGAGGAAAGGAAACGTGGGAAACAACCAGAGACAGTGATTTGAGGGCTTGTCCCAGGACCCCCTAGGAATGAGGGGTGGGAGGGGATTTGAGGCTCCTCTCAAGTTTGAGGGTCTAGGAGGCACCCTGTTAGAGTATAGATTTGGTCTCTGAGCCCTCATAAATAGGATGAAGACTCAAGTAGGGGCTCTGTTAGAGGTGATCTTAGTATTACATATGTTCATATATCTTTTTATAAATCTAGTCAGAGTGCAAGTATTTAGCTGCTCATCTATGTAAATCACGTGTATCAAAAGAGTCAAATTCATGACCTTTAGCCTCATGTGACATGTCTCCACCCACTGCAGTATAGGATGTTATTATTTTGTATTAGCATTTTGTAATCTTGAATTAAATATTTTGACCGCTAAATAATCTAAAATAAAAAAGGTTTCGATTTCAAAGTTTTAGATCTTGTGAAGCACTACATTCTCCAACTGAGATTGTTTAAAAATTTCAAAAATTTGAATATAAGAATATGATAAATTAAAACATATGTTTGATACTCTAAACGAATTGAATAAAAAATTTGTCTACTACAAAGTTGAAGATCACATCGACCACTATAAATTGGGTATTGACTATGTTATCAATTGAGGTCTTTTGAAATTTTTAAAATGGATTTCAAAAACTAAACTACTTAAATAAAAAACTTGACAGCTACAAAGTTCTAACTAAAATGTGGTGTAGACCATGTCAACATCGAGATCATTCAAAAATTCTTAAATTTAATTCCAAATTGAAGGAACCATGACACCTAAGACGGGGGAGGGGGTTTAAATTAGGCAACTTAATACTAAACACGACCTCTAATGTGTTGCTATCTCTACTGTAAAAGAATTATGCAACCTAGGTTCCAATCCTATCACTAATGTAACAAGTTAGACTAGGAATATAAAGCACACAACTTAAGTACACAATATAAATGCAGAAGCTTAAGGGTAGAAAATGCAAACTCCCGTTGATGACTCTCAATTTTTACCGAGGTATCGAGAACCCCACTGTAACATCCTAATGGGCACGTGGGGACAACTGCGCGGGCATGTTGTGTGTGTGTGCGTGGGCCCGTCGTGGACACGGCATGGCATACACATACGCCGGCACGGGGCCACACAAACATGTTGAAGAGAGGCGGATCCTGGAATAAGTGTCCCGAAAGGGTAAGCTGGTCTGGCATTCGACGGGGACGTCGAATCCTTAGGGGGGATGATTGTAACATCCTAATGTAGCAGAATGGGCCGGCTACTGTAGCACCGCGAAAAACACTGTGCAACCAGGTTTAGTACCATACTGGAAACTCAGGATTCGCCAGATCAACTTAAATACCAGGGCCAGGGACGCGTAGTAACCTTCAGTTAACCGTTTTGAACGAAGCGAGGACGAAAGTTCAAGCGGGTTGCTACGCGGGTCGGATCACTCCTAGGAAGAGTGGGCCGGGGCCATGTATGTCGGGACTGGACGTTACACCCACGCTTCCCTCTAATCCCATTGGAGCCTCTCGCAAGGATGCCTGTCGATGCGGGACCCATGGGATACCCCGCAAGGAAGAGAGAAGATCTAGTTTAACTAGGTTTCCTTTCATGTAATCCTAGTAATAGTATTATTCTGTAATCCTACTAGGAACTTTCATTGTAAACCGACTAGGACTCTGACCTCCTGACCGTATAAAGGAGGGCGGGGTTCCTAGCGGAGCAGAAGGACTTTGGACATAACAACAACACACAATCAATCCAACGCAAGGCTAACGCTGACTGGATGTAGGGCTATTACTCGATCACGATCGAGGGCCTAAACCAGGATAAATCGACTGTCTCTTGCGTTCACCGTCGAGTTCCGCATACGCTAAAGCCCGAACATACTGCCCCGAGGACCCCCGTGGCAGGCTATCGGTGGTCAAACATCGACAGCTGGCGCGCCAGGTAGGGGCTTTCGGCGAATTTGCATCCGAGAGCTCGATGGACCATGACAACATGATCTTCTCAATGGGATCAACCTTCATCTTCGGTTCATGGATCTGCGAGGCAGGCGACGATGGCAAGCTCCAAAGCCGTCTTCTCGAAGATTCGGTTCACCATGAAAACTTTCCTATTTTGGCGACTACGACAGATCAAATCACCGGAAGATTCGCGCAGCTCGTGATGTCCGATTCAACTCAGGTTTCACGGCTTTGCGCATCCGACTCGAACTCAGGCTCCGCATCCAAGACGGAGTATGACCCAAGTTCTTTCGAGAATCCGAGTTCTTTTCCAATGAGGCTATAGAACACGGCCTCGGCATATCAAGAATACAACTCGGAGTGCACTCAGAATCTTTTCAAGAAGTCGGATCTTTTCCCGTTTGGACTCCACAACATGGCAAGGTCTTACCAAGCACAACTCGAAGGATCCCTCGACCCAGTGCTTAGAATGCCACTAAAAGGAGCTCAGGAAGGTCTCGTACTAACTATAACATCTCAAGATCATATCGTCCAATCGCGGACTCTATTCCCGAGGATAGCGATTACGACGGCGTCGGCACGACGACGACAACAACAATTCTACCCTACCAAGAAGGAGACTCGATCTGCGACCATGAAGCCTCTACTAAAGTTATCAGCAACTCCGACAGTATGGAAACCAACGCCAATAACAGAACAATTCACGCACGGGAAGTACTCATGGTTCGCCGTCCTCGATCACCATTGATCCCCCGAAGCACCCGACGTCAGTCATCGATGAATCTGAGTCCAACATATCACTCTTTGCTCGTGGCTACGATGGTGGTGAGGCCGAGAATCAAAGGCAAGCCGGAGAAAGAAGAAACAAGTTGAAATAAGGACGCCAAATGATGTGCTAGGCAAACAAGGAAGCTTAGATCAAATCTGAGTCGGATCCGGCTGAATACAACGAAGAAAATCAGAACAAGAAGTCAAAGAAAGACGTCGCGCGAACACACCTACAACAGATCCGAGAAGCTCTTGAAGAACTCGAGCGACCTCGCATCCCGGTGAACAATGAGAACAGCTCTGGGAACTTCTCCTGACAAAGACCCTAAAGACACATGATGGAAGAACCCATTCAAGACTACCCGCCAGGTCAACATCTCATAGGAAAGAAGATCAAAATCAAAGGAAGTCCGCATTCGAGAGACTTGGACCAAGTGGAAGTCACAACAGAGAAAGTAGAAGGGACCACAGTCAAAACTACCGAGCCGAACAACCAAGACAGAT